CCAAAAGACCATCCTTATGATGGTTTAGGGACCTAATTCTGCAATGGTAGTACCTATGGAGCCTCTGGGAATAGCTTTTCTCATTATCTCCAGTCCAAGGCTAGCCTAGCATGGCAGTGTTTACTGGCTTTGCAGCTGAGGCCTTGCCGGGGCCAAATCAAGCCTATGTGAGGGTTTATTATGGTTTAGTGGTTAGGGTTTATGGATGTTTAGGTTTAGGGCATCCGCCTAAAGCACCTAGGTTGAAACTTTCGACCTCCAACTCACTGTAAAACCGCAGCTGTGCAAAGATTGCGACAGGTAATAAGTTGCCAGGGATTGCAGACGAAAGCTATGGGTGTTTGTTAGCCCTAAATTCCAACGGTTGAAACCTTGGAACCCAAACTCTAACTAAACCAACGACGCCCACTGCCCTCTCAACCGTGTGAGCCATGAGAGCTGAATGCCTAAAGCATTTCTAAAGCCATCACAAGAGCTTTGTTAACCCCTCATCCTGCCTTACAATAGACCCCTTTGCGCCTTGCTCACCTTAAACCCTAAGCCGCTAAACCCCTAAACTCTTGACCCCTCAACCCTTAACCCCTAAAGCCCTGAACCCCTGAACCCGCAACCCCCAAACCCCTAAACCCTTAACCCCGAAAGCCCTGAACCCCTACAAACCCTGCACCCCTGAAGCCCTGAAGCACTGGACCGACCCCTAAACTCTTACTCCCTACAGCCCTGAACCCTTAACCCCTAAAGCCCTGAACCCTTGAACCCCAAACCCCTACACCCCTACACCCTTAACCCCCAAAGCCCTGAACCCCTAAACCCTTAACCCCCAGAGCCCTTAACCCTTAAAGCCCAACTTGGAGGATCATGGGACTTAGCACGTAAGGTTATAACTACCTTAATTAGGGTTATCATTACTTATAAGTATAGTTGCCTTATTTATAACCCTAGTTACTAAGTCCCAAGACGCTCGAAGTAGACCCTCAAACCCCTAAGCCCCTAACCTGAGCCCCTAAACCCTTAACCCCTAAACCCTTAACCCCAAAGCCCTGAACCCTTACAGCCCTCGACCCCTACACCCTTAACCCCTAAACCCTAAACCCCTAAACCACAAAGCCCTGAACCCTTAAAGCCCTAGACCCTCAGCATCAGGACCAGAGTGTGGCGCTCTCTACCGCCCGGGAAGCACTGCCTCCGCACAAGGCCGTGGAAGAGGACGTGGTTTGGGGCGTTTAGGGTTTAGGGGTTTGGGGGTTTAGGGTTTAGGGCTCTTTAACCCCAGGGGTCCAAAGGACCTTATATAGATGCCAAAATATTTACCCATACTATTTTCCTTGTAATAAAGATAGTAGAAAGGGCCCCCAAACCCTATTCTGATTATTGAGGCCCCTACATTAATTATCAGGTACTTGGGCTTACGATAGTAGTTATGTTGGGAGAGTATAATGTGTTTTCTGGGTACTTGGACCCTTCGGCGGGTTCCAAAAGGGTTGCTTTACTCCCGGGGCTGTACTAATTAGAATAGGGGTCTGCCATAGTGTGGTGGCACTGCAGTTGTACAGGGACGACAACCGGATGTTAGTGCCAAGCCGTAACCCCTGTGCCCTAAACCAAGGTGTAGCTTACGCCTGCCAAGGCGTGGGGTTTCACGATTAGGGCTTTAAGCTGGAGGGTTTAGGTTTTGTATGAGTTAGGCTTTGCCGTTAACGCCTTCGTAGTGCTTCGAATCGGTTCCAACAGATCGTACGCTCCGGAGTGTACTACACGCATGAGCCTGCAGACCGAGAACAAAGGAAGCCTCTTGGGGCAAGCATCCATTCTCGTAGTTAGGGTTTAGGGCGTAGGGTTTAGGGCTTAGGGTTTAGGGTTTAGGATGGCGACATCTGTCTGGTTTGAAGAACTTAAGTTGGGAACACTGGTTAGAGGGTATTTGGCTGAGACGACGACATACTGTAACCAGAACGACGGCTGCAAATGTGGTTACGACGACTACCTTCTGCAAATAGAATTTTTTTGCACTCACCACATACTGGTTGACTTTGTGGCGATCGGACCCTGAACCCTGAACCGCTAAACCCTAAACCCTTTAAACCCCTAAAGCCCTAAACCCTAAACCCGGAATCCTGGCGAGATGCGATTATGACGAGCTGTTGGAAGAAGGGTCTCTGCCCCTGACGACCTGGTTGCAGAACTGCTGCTGGTGATTAGGGTTTAGGGCTTATGGCCATGTAGATGTAGTCGTTCAGAAGCAACAGGAGTACAGGTTGCTCCGTCAGCTTGCTGCCCTGATCCCCACATCCCAAACCCTAAGGGTCCATGTACCCAGATAGTAGAACATAGGCCTCAATGTAGTCCCTAAATGGGTACTTTAGGGCCAATGTCCTACTATTTGGGTACATGGACCCTTAGGGAAATAGTTATGCCACAAATCCCCCCAAATAACCTTAGCCCTAAAACCTCCAACTAGTACCCAAATAGGGGCTACTTTAAGGCCAAAGTATCTAATATTTGGGTACATGGACCCTTAGGGTTAGCCCTAAAACCTCCAACTAGTCGGTTCCGGGGAAGGAGTCGGGACCATCGATCTTCTCGTCCCGACTGCTGCCGAAGGCACGATCTTGGCATACGCCCTGTGTCATCCCCACCCTAAACCCTAAACCCTAAACCCTAAACCCTGAACCCTGAACCCTGAACCCTGAACCCTGAAGCCTGAACCCTGAACCCTGAACCCTAAACCCTGAACCCTAAACCCTAAACCCCAACTTTGCGGTTTGTCGGCAGGGGGGTTGGGAGATCAGGGCTCAGGATTTTAGGGTTTACCATTTAGGGCTTTAGGGGTTTACGGACTAGGGTTTAGGGTTTAGGGTTTAGGGGTTTAGGATTTAGGGTTTAGGGCCCATGGTTTAGAGTTTAGGGTTTAGGTGCTTAGGGTTTAGTGCAGGTTCACTGCCCGTTGTCTCCGCAAGCCTTTGCCCCTATTTTCCGCAGCCAGCAATTTCGAATACGTGCTGAACTTTTGAGCCTGCGTTGAGTCCAGGTTTTTATTTTTATTTTTTATCGTGCTATGTTTACATTTTGCCTTTGATGGCTTGACTTTTCGTTTGTTTCGTATTTGGCGGTGTTGTGGTTTCGTTGTTGCTTGTTTGCAGGTTTGCTTGATAGTAGATCGCGTGCATAACACCTGATGTTGCGGCAGCGTAGAGGCACAGTCGAAGCAACATGGGACTTTCCGAATATTAGGGGTACCTTATTATGGGGGTCCTTATAATAAGGATCCTACTATTTAGGGTCCTATATTTGGGTCCCCTATTTTCGGAAACCCCCACATGACTTCAGGCAGCTGCCCAGTGAGGCAAGATGAGTGTAGAGCCCCAACCTACATGCTAAGCCCTGCGTGGGTGTTTTTTCTGAGGTCTACATGTGTATGTGTGATGGTGCATGCCAGTATTAACATTGTGTTTAGTGTTTGTTGGATGCTGCTTGAGCACATGCATAGCGACACGAGAGGTTGCCAGGGCACCTCTCATCCTCGTCATGCAACACAACAAAGCAGAGCCAGCAAAGCATGGAAAGCCACACATCAAACCTCCGCAAGCACGAACAAGCATTGCACGCAACGACTGGGAGTTTGAAAAGGGAGGCTGCTCGCCATCTGATGTTCACGATGTAGGCTACGGTAGAGAAGCAAGCACATGTTCTACATTCTCACGCGACTCACACAATGCGTCTGTTTTCAACTGCACGAGCTATATGAGGTCTTAAGCATCCTCCTTTTTGATGATGTCTGCGCATGTTATCGAAAGTGCCTGGCATATTGAGCCCGAGGGTTAGCCAAAACATCCCGACAAAAAGCCCTAAACCCTAAAGCCGCCTAAGACCAAAGCCGAACTCCGGACTGTAAGCCCATACCCATTTGCTGCGCACACGCCCGTCGAAGGAGCCTTCCTCCTCGCGGGAGGCTTGGATGTGTACATATACACACTGCATGTAAATATATTAGATTAATACATTGCACTATATGTATGTATGTGTGTGTACAAATATGCATACACGTACATACCTTCATACAGACATGCAGACATACAGACATACAGACATGCATACATGCATACAGTGACATACAGATAGATCTATTGATGTAGAGTATGTATCTACTAGATACAGAACAAAAACAAGCTGAAACTATGTGCGTCCCTGTACATGCATACATACATGTTACATGTACATACATGCATGCATGCATGCATACATACTTACATACATATATATGCTATTCGGTTCTGTCTATGTGTAGCAGCCTCCTCGTGAGTTTTGTGGGAAGCGAGATTGAAGCTGCATTATCATGCGCATTGATCAGTTCTTCGGGTTAGGGTTCAGAGTTTAGAGTCTAGGGCGCTCCATGACGATGGCAACCCCTAAACCTTAAAGTTGGCCCTCAAGCTCTATAAGCCGTTGACCTCAACGTGCTAATATAATCTTGTCTTGCGCGTGGAACAGACACGATGCAGGTCAGGAAGATGCATCAAGTCCTCCAGGAGGGCTTGGCGAAGCACACGCAGGTGCACATCTCGGGCAGCTCCGAGGGAGTGTGTTGTTGTTGCTGTTGTCGTTAGCAAGCTTTTATTGTTGTTTGTTTACCTTCTTCTTGTCCTTCGTTATAGCCTGATTGTTATTTTAATATCACTATTCTTATTATTGCTTCTGTCGTTGTTGTTGTGCGCCAGACCTGAAACTTTCGGGAGTTGGTCTTTCGCGTTTGAGCTTGTTTTGTATGCGCGTGTCTGTGTCGGGTTCAGGTTTTAGAGCGAGGGTTTAGGGTGATCGAACTGTGTTCTGATTCAGATTTTGTATGCTTTGAATTGGGGGCGAGGGGGAATGGCTACGGGTGTGTATGTATGTATGTATGTATGTATGTATGTATGTACGTATGTATTTATGTATGTATGTATGTATGTATATATATATATATGTTTTTAATGTAGTTCTTTCTGTTTCTAAAAACAGCTGTATATATTATATATCATTGTCGATAGGTACATGTGTCCTTCAATTCTGCGCAAATATTATGGCTTCGGTTCAAAGCCTGGTGTATTTCCAAGTTCGGAGTGTCAAGGTTTAGGATGCCCTCTAGACCCCAAAACCCTGAAAGCGCCACCTGTCAAGCAAATGAGCTGACTCATAAATCCTGCATGCCCCTTTCGCAGCTGCTGGGCCACTTTAACCCTATCACGCCCTAAGCCCAAACCCAAACCGTGCCAGCTGATAGAGGGTTTAGGATTTATCTTAAAGCTCTGAGGTGCCAGAGCCTGAATCCCACCCTACCAGCTTTCACACCCAAGCCCCAGAAGCTCTAAAAGATGGGTCGGAATAATCACCACTACTATTTCTTACGGCTCCTTATTCTACGTAGTTGTAGTAGAATATACTCCGAAACCCTCTTCGCATTATTCAGCCCCCTATATTACACAACCCAAGCTGTGATCAAGGCCTAAACTTTAAGATTGTAACGATGCATGTCGATTCCTGGATGGGGGTGTTAATGAGACTTCTGGCGGTCGTAGTACGAGCACTGAATTCAACAATATCGATGTCTGATAGTTTAATAGGGTAACGAAGAAACCCTAAACCCTAAACGCCTAAGCCCCTAAACCGTAAACCCAAGGTGAGCAGCGGGGACATCCACCTGGACCTGATGTTGCACAACGGTCAGCATGTGCATAGTCTCAGGCCGCACGTTGCACATGGCTACGGTTGGTTGGGGTTTAAGGGTCTATAGGTTCTAAACAGAATCTATTCTATACGGGATCTATAAGGGTTCTGCAGGGGTTCAGGGGTTCAGGTTTCAGGGTTTAGGGTGTTTCCACGGTTCAGCGCCGTATGCCCAGGCTTTTCGGTTTTAGTGACTCGAAACTTGGGCTTCATCAGCACTCCCTGACTCATTAACCCTGGTACGATTCAATGAATGTCGCGCCGGGGTAAAGGTAGAAACGAATACTGAAAAGCAACCCCAAGCCCTAAAAGCCTAAACCCTAAACCCTTAAACCCTAAAGCCGAAAGCCTAAAGCCTATACCCTAAAAACCCTAAGCCCTAAACCCTAAACTGTGTGGTGTGTGTCTTCGCGGTGCTTCGGAGCTTTCAGGCTTTGGGCCTGAAAGCGTGTCTAGGCTCCCCAGTAGTACCCTTTTACCCTTTCTCCTCTGGGGCTCCCTTTTTAACACCGCATCGGGCTGAAGGCTTCAGGGTTTTTAGGGTTTAGGTTTTAGGGTGTAGGGTTTAGCGTTTTAGGGTTTAGGGTTTTAGGGTTTTAGGGTTTTAGGGTTTAGGGTTTAGGGACACCCTTATTATAAAGGGGCCACTGGGGAACCTGGGTGTCGGCTTAGGGTCTCGAAGCTTGTTGCGTGGAGCTTTGTAGGCAGGACCCATCTCGTCTCCATTGTAGTTCCTTGTTTTGTGGTTTAGGGTTTAGGGTTTGTGGTTCCTTTTTTTGTGGTTACCTTTTGGGATCCTTGTTGTAAGGACCCCCCAAAATAAGGTACCCCTAATTTTCGGATTCCATTGTTGTTCCTTGTTTGTGGTTACCTTCTAGGGTGCTTTATATAAAACTGGTGAGACCAGGAACTACAATGGAGAGGATGGGGACCATGTATATAAATACTCGCTGAACGTTAGGCCATAAAGTAGAATGGGGACGATAAGGACACTGTAATTGCTGGCTGAAGCTACTTGGACCCAGTTACAAGACCTGGCTACAACCATGGCTTGGACCCTAAACCCTAAACCCTAAACCCTAAAAGCCAACCCTAAAAAGGACTCCAAAAGGAACCCTAATTTAGAGAACTACCCATTTAAGATTTGGGCTCCAGGACCCTAGACTCCCTAAGCCCTGAAGCCTAAAGGTGTTCGGATTCGACATTCGCAGGCATTTCGGGAGGCACATGAACCAACACAGAACCCCAAAAGGGCTAAATAAAATTGTCCGGGCTTCTCAAAGGAGCTGTATAAACCAACCATCCTAAACCCTAAATTATACAAACCCTAAACCCTAAATTATACAAACCCTAAACCCTAAATTATAAACCTTAAACCCTAAACCTCTGTTGTGCAGGGAGCGGCATGACTTCCCCGGCCTCTTTGAGTCGTTGCTGACCATCTCTGAGCTGGACTCATCGACCAAGGTGCCACGACCCGGCTCGTTTCCAGGGGCTTAGGGTTTAGGGGTTTAGGGTTTAGGGATAAGGGTTTAGGATTTAGGGTTTAGGGTTTAGGGGTCAGGGGTTTAGGGGTTTAGGGTTTAGGGTTTATATGTCAAGGAGTAAGTAATCCACATGTTTCTAATGCATTATCTGGTTATGAGAAAGAAGACAAGCCGACATGTTTTCGAAGGAGATAGATAGAGAGTTTAATATCTGTCCATAAAAAATCTTCACAAATAATGAAATGGAAAATGCTATTTTGTTATCAGTGGAGTTCCTTAAGGGATAATTAGGAGATGGAAAATGTAGCTTAGAAATATGAAGAAGAACAAGATGGACATAGAAAATGAAAGACACAGAACCTCTTTAATGTTGGATTGTACATCTAATGTTCTCCACAAAGCCGTTCTGTGTTAAAGATGGAAGTGAAGATTATGAATTTGTAATTACTGTCAAGGTTTAGGTTAAGGGTACAGGTTGTCGGCTTTAAGGTTTAGGGTGTAGGGCTTAGGGTGCAGTGTCGACTACCTTACCTTGCATCCCCGCAGACCCTACTTTTTGTTAAGGACGTCCATCAGGAGATCATGGCAATGAGCTCAAAAATGCAGGTGCCTTAGGGTCTACTTGGAGGATCGTGGGACTTAGTAAGTAAGGTTATAACTACCCCAATTGGGGTTACAATTACTTATAAGTATAGTTACCTTATTTATAACCCTAGTTACTAAGTCTCATGAACCTCCAAGTAGGCAGACTTCAAACTAAAACCCTCAAGCCCTCTAAGCCCAAGGTTCTCAGAATGCAGAGTTTATGCTTTCGGAGCATGGGGGGCGGTGCTTCGGGATCGTGTATGTCATGGCGGGCTCCCGATCAGTTGGATCAGGGTTTAGGGTTCAGGGTTTAGGGCTTACCTTAACCCCAAATAACCTACCTTTTCAAGAGCTTATATAAGGAAATCAAAATAAGGAACCCTCAAAACGGAGGTTCTTTAGGGTCCAGGTATGGTTTAATTAGGGCATAGGCTTCTCTGCTCTTAGAATTCCAGCCTCCCGATGGAATAATTGGACTGGCGTACAACCTTGCTCTCAAGTTGTAGGGACAGTCGCTTTCCACATAAGTCACTGTGCTTTTAGCTTATTCCTCGACGCGATGCAACGAGTCGCCCGTCTCTCTGCGCGATGGGCGCATCTTGTAATAGTAAAGTTGCGGTGGTCAGGGACAGGCCTGATGATGAGCTAGGCTTCAGCAGCGCATCCCCATGGACTCCCATGGACCTTTTGTGCACATCGTCTGCCAGCTGGGTTATAGCTGAATCGCAAGTAATCTGCCAAAATGGGATTCCAGTGAGCTGCTGCACAGCTTTCGACATGTCCCAAGTAAGTTGTTCGAAACCAGGTGTCTTCCGCGAGTTCTTGCTAGATTGTGTGAGCTGATTTTGTCTTCTATGGCGGACACCCGCTTCTGAGGCTCCATCTGCAAATGACCCCCGTCGCACACATATGTCTCTGCATACAAAGAAATACGTGTGTGTTTACCATATGTATATAACAACCTCGAAGCTTGCAGCTAGCACATACACTGTGGGCACAGGGAACTGGTCTCCATTCAACGTGTCACTTTACCATCTAACTACCTCGGGGTCTAGGCCCTTAAAAGCGCTAAGCCCTAAGCCCTCAAAAGCTAAAGCCCCAAAGCCCGAATCCCTAAAACCCTAAAAGCCCTAAACCCTTATCCCTAAAACCCTTAAAGCCCCAAAGCCCTAAACCCTAGTCCAAAAAACCCTAAAGCCCCAACGCCTTAGACCCTAATTTTCAAAACCATGCAGCCCCAAAGCCTTAAACTCACCTGTTAATGAAGGACTATGCCGTGAATTACAGAAGGATCCCTCAGATGATTTACGGTATGTTCCTTAATTAAGGGATTTGGGGAAGATCTGGCTGGCCAGATTCAGATGGTGCTGCGCTTCCCGCGCATCCACGCGTGCGACTTCTCCCCAAGGACATGGGACTCAGGGAAAACCAAGCAGGAGGGTTTAGAGTTTAGGGTTTAGGGTTGTCCAAAGCCATTCAGAGTACACCATTTGGGTTCCTGCAGTCCTTCTTTCTTGGTAAGGATAAGTACGGCGCAAGAATGCTTGTTCATGTGGCGGAGGCCTGGTGTGTCGAAACCTTGTCAGCTGAATCCTAACGTGGCCAATGTAGTCCCCGAGCCTGTGTTGTCAAATCCAAAAAAGTGAACAGGGCCCATGCGCCCGTTTGGGAGGTTTGTGGAACACATTGTAGATGCGACTGCATACACGGATGACCACAGTTGCAGAGGAAAGTGGCAGAGTGGCTCGTCACCCGCGGGTAGAACATGTACAAATTTGACGATGTCTCTGCGGTACTTTAATGCAGTTCCTTTTCCTTGGTTAGGTCCTGGACACCAACTCCTAAAACTTGTTGACCCTGAAACCAAGTTTCCTGTTTGTTGGTTTCCCGGCCACCGAAAAGGAACCACATTCGGGCTTCTGGCGCCTTGCGGCTAGGAGTGCCTATCTAGTGGGCCCATTGACAGCACATGTATCGTACTGACACTAGCCGGATCGTTTGGGTACTTCGGCCGTTGAAGCCAAAGAGTGTCAAATTAAGCCTAATTCGTTGACGTGCTGTTAGCATAAGCCTTGGGATTTTCGACTGTGTGATCCGCCAAGTAAGATATCCTAAACATCTCTAAACCCTAGACACTTATTATTGGACCCACCAGGTAAGATCAATCGCCGTTTAGTGCCGAAAGGGCGAAGCACGACCGCATGCCTGCGCCTGGCGCGGCAGCTGGCAGGGATGCCCTAAAACGGGGCTCCCCGCCATGGATTTATACGGAAATGACCGGAGGGTTGTGAAGACCACGGCCCTTTTTGGAGTCTTACTCGGACGGATGCCAGAGGAAGCATCGCTGTCTGATGGGCGATGATCTCGCCAGCGCCAACCTCCATACTCACCGGCAGGGTACCCCAGAGGGACTTCCTGCCGTGAAGTTTTGCCCCAGCCTGACCGGACATTCAGTCAGTGTTGGGAGACCAAGAGATCTGTGTGGTGAAGACAAAGCTTCAACACTCCTTTACTACCAATCTCTCTTTCTCGCTCTCTCTCTCTCTCTCTCTCTCTGTCTCTCTCCATCTCTTTGTCTATACTTGTATGTATGGTTAAATAACATTATGGTCGTTTGAAAACCAATGAATCCATAAGTTAGATATGTTGTTGTTCGGTTTCGACCTACCTTGGACCTAAAAAGCACACAATTAAGCCTGGTGTTAATTGTGTCTCTATGCGTTTCTGTAATAAACAGAAGGACAAATCAGAAACTAGGATACCAAGCAAAAGTAGCTAGGATACCAAATTAAGGCTGCAAAAAAACATTTAAAACCCTTAGACCTCCAAACCCTAAATGGGTGGTTGTCAAAATTAGGGTTCCTTTTTGGGTCCTTATTATAATACGGCACCTATTCTTTTAGGGTACCCCAAAAGGGACCATAATTTTGACAACTACCCAAATCTCTAAACCCTCACACCAAAACCCTTAATTGTCCGGGCCTCCTGCTTGGGGAGCGCCACATCTGGCCCCAAGCCACCTGTGCGTTTCTGTTGAGGGCTTGGGGTTTTATTGTTTGGGTTCGGAGGGTTTTGTGTTTCAGAAGATAATATAAAAAAAGCAGTATCATAATGTATGTTTGCACTGACTGTATGTTCTCACGAGGGTACTACAATCATTGTGCTCAAGACATGAATACACGTCATAACATGAATCGTATTCAAATATCAATGGAATTATTATCTGCAACATACGTTGCAAATTTATATATATATATATATACACACACATACATATGCATATATATATATATATACACATGCACATGTACATATATATATATATATATAGGTATATACACCTACATACATACATACACATACATATGCCGTGCATACACGTAGGTATGTCTATGTCTACAGATAGGTAGATATGCAGATAAATAGGCCGATAGACGGATAAATACATAGGTAGATATCAGCATACATCTTTACAAACAAACATACAAACAACATACATTACATACACTACATGCACTACATACATACATACATACATGCATACGTACATACATACATACATACATACATACATACAGACATACATACATACATACATACATACATACATTCAGACATACAGACATGCAGACATACAGACATACAGAAATACAGACATACAGACGCACATAGAGACATACATACATACAGACATACATACAGACATACATAGATACATACGTACATACGGACATGCACACATACATACGCACATACATGCATACATACCTATATGTGCCTGCGTACGTACGTACATACATCTGTGTATGTATGTGTGTGCGTATTCATATAAGATGTATGGATCTGAATAATTTGTATTCTGATATATATATATATATACACATGTACATATGTATGTTAACATTTTATGCAGATATTTTGTGTTGTGGTATTGGTTTGGCTATGCTACAAAGAGATGTCTGTACGTGTGAGTGTGTGTCGGGGGGGATGATGGTGTCTTCAAGCCTGAAGGCACGCAGGTTATAAACGTGTCCACGATTGAGTCAGCCTGCCGCAGTCTTGAGTTCTTGTCTTGATATTTCGGGTTCGCTAAGAGTTGGGTCCCTGTAAGACTTTAGCGGCTTTGGTTGGAATTCTTATCGTTTCTGGTCTAGCAGGAGGTGACATGCTTCTGCTCTGAAGGCACTGGCCCTTGCAACAAGCCGAGACCCGAAACCCTCAGACACATGGAACTTAAACCCTAAACTGGCAGAGTACTCCCTAAGGTGGCAGTTGATACGGGAGCCAGGCAGGTGCTGTTGCCACCCGGGCAAAGTAAGAGGTGAAATCAATCAAACGACTCAAACGAGCATAAGTAACACGAGTAGATGTTCAAGCGTAGACAGATATGTTGGCTTTTGACAGATAAAGGCAGTGTATGTATATATATATATATATATATACCCCCGTACGAACGTATCTACCCCGCTGTTTACATGTTTGTTTTTACTTTCTAGGCTCCGAGTTTGCGCATCAGCGCGATGCTGGCGCCGCCTGGTCCGTCGCTCTCCCCAAGCGTCGGCTTGGGACCCAAAGAGGTCTTCAGAAGGCGCAATACCGACGAGACTTGGTGTAGGGTTTAGGGTTTAGGGGTTTAGGGTTTAGGGTATAGGGTATAGTTGAACGTCGATGGCGATGATGAAGACGACAAGAAGCACGATGATGATGGTGAGGAGGATGATGATGATGATGACGGCCACGGTGATGATGCTAATGATGTTGATGGTGACGACGCGGATAGTGATGATGATTCGATTGTAAAGCCTTCCGCCTTGCATTAACCACTCCTAGAATAGTAGCCAAACACTTGTCCGAAATCTCCCCACAATTGACAAGCCACACTGCCACTTGCACACAATGGCCACCTCACGCCGCTGCGGAGCTGGACCTGGTTGATAGATCCAAGCCCAGACGCCGAAACTCATTCGTTGCCAGGGTACAAGCGCCCGGCCAGCCGCGGTTCTCGCCAGCGTTGTGCACGTCGGCATTTCTGTGCCTGGCGAGCATTGGGCTGTCCAGCTTGACTCTTCAGGTCCTGCCTCGCTCCAGATGTTAGAGAAGCGTCATCTGCATGGATTTAGTTACCCCTAAGGGTCCATGTGCCCATATAGTATATACATTGGCCCCAAAGTACCTATATGAGCATCGGACTAAACCTC